AGTCTAGCACAGCGAGCGGTGTAGATTTGGAGCTTTTAAATAGAAACCTTGACTCGATCTAGGGTTTTTTGCTTTGCTAGCCGAATTGGACACTTGGTAATGCTAAATGGGCTGCCCCGAACATTTCCAAATTTTGGGCTTTCAACCCAATTAAAAGTACAACTGCTGAAAACAACTGGCACTGTACATCTAGAAACCTTGGCCAATACTATAGTGCCGCACTTTTTATCTAGAAACCTTGGCCAATACTACAGTGCCGCACTAAAAAGTGCGGCACCGGTGACGCAGTTTCCTATTGGTCCATGTGGAGCTGATGTGGCATGGCCTGGTTTCATTAAACACAATCCAAACCAATGGCCCATTAGAAGCGGCCGAACCCAGCCAACATGAAACTAACGTCTAATAGTAACGTCTGCCTTCGCTTAGCCGTTACATTTATTTCCTTTTCCATTTATTAATTTTAAATGCATTAACATTCAGTTGCATTTATTTGTATTCTGAAAAAAAAGCGAAGGAAAACGAATCGTTGGCGTCTTCCTCGTTCCCTCGCTCGTCATAATCAGAAAAGAGCGAACTGCTCTGCTGAGCACCACCGTCGCTCATCCAAACTTCACACCCTCCACCAAATTCTTCACGCGTATTCCACCTCCATTAATTCAATTCGTTTGGTTTTGGAAGATTCAGAAAACTCAAAAACTGGGGACGACGAGGGACGAACCGAAAGAGAGTTCCTCGATCTTCTTCACCGGCGTTGGCGAAAATCACTCCGGTGACTTGTTCGTGGTCGATCCCATCTCCAAAATGACTCCGGTGACTCGTTCAGAGACGAAGAAGTCTGCATCTTCACGGGCCTCTGTCACCATCGAAAAGTGCCTCCGCCAAAGACCAGACCGGTCAAGGTTAGAGAAGGGAGAGACGCATCCTTCACCGGCGGTCGCTCCCAAATCATTCCGGCCCTCGTGGTCGATCCCATCCCCAGGGTCAATCTTAAGCGCCGATTGCAGCGTACCCAACCCCTGCATAGTCAGTGCTCTCTATTTTGTACCAAAACTTCCCTCGTCCGCTCATCTGTCGGCCAGGACTAACCTCTGCCACAAGAATTTCTTTTCAGCCTCGGCGAGTTCAGTTAGATTCCTGCTCTTGTAAGGTAAGGTAAGGTATAGCTACTTTCAGTTATATTGGTTGTGGATATGTAGCCTAGACAGAAAGGTGGAGTGGTCGTGGGCAGGCTTTACCCTAGGTGTAGGCGATGTGGATGATGGGTCACTTACTTTGAGCTCTTTCATATGGTCAGCACTGAATGAGTGCAGGTCAGATACAGCAGCAACTGGCACAGCAAAACTCCGGACAACTCACTTCACTTCTACCGACTTCACATGGAAATCGAGAACAGTTTCCGTGCATGGAGGACATATTTTCTCATTGGCGCAGCTAGATGACTCTTTCATTTTGTTATTGTGTCTTGAAGCTGAGCAAAATAGATATCGTATTGACCAAAGCAGGCAAAACTTGTATACTTATTTGAACTGCTACTGGTGCTCGTGATCTTATTTGAACTACCACTGTGATTACAAACACATTGAATGTTGATGCTCCATTTAGTGAGTTTGTTCTATTCAAGATGGTTGTTCCCTCTGTACTTGAGTTTGGCTCATAGGTTTCCATTTAATGTACAATGTGTTTGTTGGTAGCAAGGTGGAGAAGCTCGAGTTCTATATGTTCGACATTGTTTGTGTGCGACTAGGGGGGTTGTTTTGGTTGGATAACTTCTATTGTACTAATTATGAGAAGAAAGGGTTGTTGACGAGATTGATCGGGAGATTCGGGTATGCAAAGTTGAAATGGGTTGTGGGAGAGAAGGTCGATGCAGCATCTGGGATGTCTGAATTTTATCAATCTGCTGTGCTGCAAAACCCAGGAAGAGTCTGAAAGTAGAGATGGGCATATATTTATATTTTGTTGTAAAATTGGTCTGTCTTTTCCTTGTGTAACTTTTTATCTTTTAGGAGGAACTTATAGTTCTTGAGGTTAGTATGAACTCTTGGGGAGTATGGGGAAAATTAATAGTATGTTCATTAACTTTTGCCCAGCAATGAGTAACTGAGTACAATAGGCTTGTTACCAATAGAATCTGTCTATGCTTGGAAGCACCATCCGTATACATAGTCAATCAACTGCACTCTACCGCCTTGACCAAATGCAACTTAACAATAACAATCTACTAATTTTTCATGTCCTAGCCAATCTTATACATTACTCAATCAACTGCATCCGGTTAGCTTACAACTTACAACATACATGGAGGAAAGTCGCACCCTTAATGGTGGTGGCTGACAAGAATCAAAAGCTCACCAATGCATACTTCTAACTAGCTACGGCTTCTGCAGCTGCATCTACTGATACAATCAACACTGGGTGTACCAAATCCCCTTCCTAACAGGTCTTGAAGTTCAATCAGTTGCCTTTGCTAACTTGTAAACCACGAATTCATTGTACAATGTTCTCATTTATGGAGGCGGTGGCATTAACCTTGTATGATGGACGAAGAAGCAAGGTTTATACTCTGCTGCATATTCGCGATATTAAGAAGCGCCATCCCTTTTTCGAGTGTAACCTCTCTCGTTTGCTTGGTCCCTCCCTCGTTCTCATGGGGTGATGACATTAGTACTACGTTTCTAAAGAGCTCTACCATGTGCTGAAAATAACAACGAACACACTTCAGCATTATTTTGGTAATTTTTTCCCAACCACACAAATGTTTTAGTCTGCTATCCTCATCGAGTGTGAACTTGCAGAGGAGTTCTGAATCAATTTCATACTTAGCACGTAAGTATGCTAATGCAGACTCTGCATCACTATGCACTTCAAAATTCTTACCTCCATCCACGAAATTGTACAAATCCTTGAGAGTAAAACCGACGTTGTCATAGCCACCTACTTCATTTACCCTCAAATCCATTATCTGACTCGGTTTCACACCCACCCCTCGCAGTGACTCTACTTGTGCCTTATCACCCTCCTTCAGTGACCGATGAGACCTTAAGAACTGCACTTGTTCAGGTCCAACTCTATCATGATTATGCTCGGAAACAAACTCCTCTACCTTGTACTTCCCATCTTTTTTATCAAATTTCACCTTGAACGAAGCAAGACATCCGAATCTAGTCACCGCCTTTGCTTCCCTCTTCCTATTTTCTCTATTCGCATTTTCTTCAGTTCTGACTCCTTCTTTACAACAAACCCATTTTCGTGATGTCCATTTCCCATATTTGTTAACCTTTCTGTCCCTTTTTCTGACACCAAACCCCATATACTTGCTGTAATTGTTGTAAAAGTTTTCAGCTTCATCAACAGAATCAAATGTTACCTCCTTCAAATCATGAAACCCCCAATCCTCTATGTTTCCAGGAACATTAACGTTCAAGAGCGACATCCCCGTATTTTCACAGGAATGACCAGTACTTTGACTTTGGGCAGCTGTATCAACATTCTCAGTAAGTATGTCATTCTGAATATAATTTCCATGAGCTAAAGAGACTTCTTCTGATCCTGCATACCAAATTCACTTATAACTTCACTTCAAAACAATAATGTAATCCTGATATATTGTATAGAGATGCACACCTTCCATTCAGGTTGCACTGTGTTCACTTTATCGCCTAGCCTCTCTATTTCAAACAAACCTTCAAGGATAAACACTACCCTTACCACCTGTCAAAGATTACAAAAACGTCATATGAACCGTCATTACCAAGCTTACAAATTGATAGGCTACTTCATAGAAAAGTATTGCATCCCTAGCAGCACAATACAATTGATTTGAGTTTTGGAGATGACCAGCAAATATCCTCAAACATGATTGAACAACCATTAGATAAAAAAGCCTAGATACTCCAACTGCAAGAATGACTCCATGTTTCTGCCTCTCAGGGAACTAACATGCATTACCTACCCAGGAACAACACTACTGACCGCTCCTGATTCATTCAACTTCTCCAATCACTACTACTCTTCTATACTACTTGGAAGTGGAAATCACATCTAGACGTCCCTTAGTTTCTTTCCAACAGGGTTTGATGGAAGGTTATCATGACTAAAAAACGTGAAGATTCTTGGTAATGAAAGCAATTATGAGATTTTGTCACTAACATCAAGCATATTAGCATTGTAAACAAGTTTAGATTTTATCAGTTGTTGAGATGGAAATTTTTACATTTATATTTTATTAATTTTTAATTGCCACGTCGCATATTTAACAGTCAACCATAAGAGTTGACTGCCACGTAAGCAAAAGTTAACGGAAATGGACGGTGAGTGACCTTTGATGAAACGAAAGAATAAAGTTAGTGACCACGAATGGATTTAAATATTTTCAGTGACCATACGTGAACCTTTTTAGTAAACCCAGTGACCAACCTTGCAATTAACCCAAAAAAATACTTAGCGGTTTGGTTTTCTCATTTTTTGGGAAGGGTAGCTTAGTTGTTGGGACCTCAATTTCTTGTTTCTAACGAAGGATTTGCAAAAGACCAATTCAACATATGCTATAGAGATTGCACATGCAATCAACAATTTCTAATAAATGCAATTTATGATTTATCAAATGTGTACGTGAGCTATTTGACCATGGAATAAGGAGAAAAAGTAGCTGTAATATTTGTGGATGATGATGAATTGTTGATGTTTGACAGTTATTTAATGTTTAGTTGGTGCATTGTTGGTTTAAGAATTTGTGTTATTATGGATCTATGTTGGATTGGCGTTTAATTTGGATGGTATATGAATGTTAAATTGTTTGGATTCAATGATAAAACTTGAAAAAGGACACATGCATGTCCGAAAAAATCTCTAAAATGCACCATTGAAAAAATAAACGATTAACCGACAAAATAACTGAGAATCGACTAAACAAATTCAGTTATAACCGAACCGATTAACCAGCCTACTAGCACCGAAATGCCGCAAGGGCAGTAAGGTAAATTAATCTGGCATACCGGATAAGCACATCCAAATTAAGCCGTTGATTCTTGGCAGAAAAAATGCAGCTGCTGCAGATCGGACACCTCACTCCCCGCTCTCGATTTTCACTCTTTTTTGCCCCTTTCCCTATCAGATTTCAACTTTCCCCATTTCCTCAGTCCAACTAACTACCGTCTCCACCCTTCAGCTCGTAGATAGAAGGAGAAGAAAGAAGAGATCAGCTCGATCCCAGTCTGGCCGACTGGCCGTGTTTTTTTCACTCAGCTCGCAAACCTAGTGAGTCAACTCGTCCTACGTCTGTTCCAGAAGGCAGACCTTACTTCTTACTATCTGCTGGCTCTGGATTTACATCTTCTCCGATTGCGGTCTGATTATTCTCTCTCTTCTGATTTGTTGCCCCCGTGGTGCAGTCTTGAGAAATTGAGCGGACTTCGGTTGCTATGTCGGACCACTTCATAGCTCCTTGGGACTTGCAGGAAGAGCCCGTCGACGAGTAAGCTTTCTTTTTATCCTTCGATGCCGTTTATCGAGCTTTTCCCTTGGTGGGAAAACAAGCAAGGGATTCATTCGTCTCTGGCTTCAAGTTTCTAGAGCCGGAGCTGAATTTGATGTCGCCGCAATTTCCGGATCTTAATTTCAATTTCTTTTAAGAGAACGAGTGACACTCCTATTTCTTTGTGTTCTTGGTCTAGATCTGTCTTATCCCTTAGTCAAAAAGCGTCTTGCTTTTCAGTAACCGGAATCCATTGCTCAAGCGGAGTAGGGATGTTTTTTACTTTGTAGTAAAGTTAGATAATTGACTCAAAGGCCGAGGTTTTGAAGCATTCCCAGCTGAGGGTTTTACTTTAGGACTAGGTTTGATATGTTTTGCTGAGAGAAGTTTGTATCCTCTGTGACCACCAGGTGCTACGGTCCTCCGTCTCCAATCCATGGGCAGCAGAGCGATCAGCTTGTAGGGAATGCAATCCCCAATGGCGGTAATCCGTTTGCTGACAATGGTGCAGCTCAAGAAGACAAGAAATCCCTGGTGAATGACGTTATTAGCAACGTCGTTAATGAGTTGAACAGCGGTGATCTTTTCAATGAGGGAGAGCTTCATGGGACTGATCAGCTTATTGGGGCTGTTCAGCAGGGTTCTAGTGGCGAAGGTCTGCCATATGCTCCTGTGAACTGGCCGAACCCGGGTGACAACTGGACCTGGAAGGTAGGAAGGAGGATTAATACTGCTGGATTTTTCCAGGATAGGTTTCTTTATCCTCCAAAACATTTCCCCAAGGTGACAGGGGTGAGACCTCCATTTGCGAGCTTGAATTCTATTACCAACTACATCCGGACGGTGTTTCCAGATGCTAATGTTGATGCATTTTTCTCGTCCTTCACATGGAAGGTCCCTGGGAAAATGGCGCCTCCTTTGAACGGTAAGTGTAATTTCAGATTTTGGAATCTTCTCTCTGTTCGTCATCTCAGCTATGGGTTGGTAGTTGTTACTGATTATATGCTGCTTGTAACAAGTTGAAAAACTTATCCTTGTCGGCTTCACGTGTTCACGTTTATTATCAGTTTCCTAGGGTTTTAGTGTGGTAATTGACGGTCATTTGAGGGGATTCAAATGCTTTAATACCGGTAATAAGACAATTACAGCGATTTGTAATAGGTCCTGGGATCTGTCTTGATGAAAAAACTACCCTTGAACTATTTAAAGGAACCCTACTTAGGAACTTAACATAGAACTTAAATGTCAGTAGGGAAGCTCTTGCTGTGTAAAGAACTTAGCATATGTTGTTGCATAATTATAAACTAAGGAGGCATATATAACAACCATTACCGTATCTCCAAGAAAGTTTTAGCTGGCATCACCCTCAAATTTTCTTCCCGTCCTTTTCTGTTCAGAAAATTTCCCACACAAGGAATAATAGCCTTCCAAAGTTTACTTATTACATGCGTCCCTTGCTCAAGAGTAAACTAGTGATGCATTTTAAGTAAACAGCATTTGGTATGTGTGTATGATGTCTTTTCGTTTCGACTAGTCTATAGTTATATATACTATATGCAGAGACAGTATATTTTTAAATTTTAATAGAGTATATATGCATAAAGGACTTTGTGTTTATTTGATTTGGGAATCATTCATCTGTGAAATGCAGCGGAACCGATCTCCACTTCTTCCCCAAAGCCTGCTCATGGCGATGGCGTAAAAGAGGAAGTCCAAGTGCCAGGAGAAGGCTCTCGACTGAGGAAAAGGAAGCCTAAAGAGCCCACTCCACCACCACCATCCCCACCTCCACCCAGGCAGAAACGACGGCGCAGTGCTGCTAAATCATCTGCAATGAACCAGAAAAAAACAGGAGACAAAACTGGAGCTCCCTCATCATCTGCAGCCAAGCGAAGAACTAGGCATACTGCTAAACAAACTGTCCCTGTCCCTTTTGCCGATGAGGATGTTGGAAATAATACCCAGGAAGAGGAGTTTAACATTCCAATCCCAGAAGACTTCGATAACTACCTCCAATCTCTAGAAGACATCATCGCCCAGCCATTTTCTGACAACATAGTTGCTGCTCAGTCAACAACAATGACTAGGGATCCTCCTGTGGACGATGATGAGATAGCTGAAGCTCGTCACAGGCTCTCTTCCTTGCTGGTTATGGACTTCCGTACACTAGTTTCCTCCAAGAACTTCTCTGAGCTCCCGGCCTTGGCTTCAAAACTGCGCAACGATCCTCGCCTGACTGCCGAACAGCTCGTCAAGCTGAAGTTGATTGAGGAAATCTCTTCTTTCAGGGAGGTTTTTCTTGAAAGTAGGGATATCATTGACCAAATCGACAGGCATTACGGAACCCTAGATGCAAACAAGGCCAAAGTCGCTTCTCTTAAGAGTGAGTATAGTGAACTGAAGGACAAAACAGACCAACTTCAGGCACAGATAGACGGGAACATGTCGACGGTGCACGATATCGACAATGAGATTGCTAGGCTCCAAGCTCGCCGAGCAGAGTTGATCAGTGCAGTGGAATCAAACAAAGCGGCTAAGTTGGAGGTGAGCCACTCACAGAAGATGGTGGCGAGTGTGATTCCAAATGTTGTGCATGAGATTCAAATTTCCAATTCCAAGATCCCAGAGTGGGATCTGAAGCGGAGCAATGCTGTGAAGCGGGAGGCAGAAATCCTCGCAAAGTTTGCACCTTTGCAAGGGTTCTCCCTCATTCCACCGCCCTTTCATGGACTGTTTCTGTAAGTTGAGTTGAAGCCTGAAGGTTAACTTCTGTTTCAAAGCGGCAGGTGTAGTAGCAAAAATGCAGGGCGGTTGAGTATTGTAATGTGCTTTTCAGCCGGTGATATTCTCCCAACGTAGTAGAGAGAAAGAGATAAGAGAGACTTAATCCCTCTTCTTGTTAGCTCTGTGTGATTGTACTGATTTATCTAGCGCAGGAGACATACCATTGTACTATTTAAGCCATAATGCAGGCCTTAGACATGTACTATTCTCTGGATATGTAGCTCTTTCTTTCTTTGAGTTTAAACAGATTCTGTGTAGCTGTTTCTTTTTTAATTGACCGATATGTATTGTGCTGAATGTTCTTCTGGTTGCTGCACTACTTAAGAGTAAATTATCAGTGTAAGCTTAGGCATGTCTGTCATCCATTGCGTTGCATCTAAGGTCTATTACACATTGTTGAGACCACAGTTTCAACTTATGATTACTTCCACTGTGTCGAACACTCTCTTCTTGGTCGCCATCCTCTCTTCTTCATCCTTCTTCCACTGTAAAATAAACGTAGGTAGGTACATTTTGCCTTGGTTGCGCTACAAATTTTCGGTGCAAGATTGCTGGTGAAGCATCACCCAAGTTCAACATGGCCCAATAAGCTGAGCTAGGCCCGGTTTCTCTTCAATAATCCTATCCACAATTCCGGAGCCCAATTAGCATCACCAGCTGGAGCTAACTTTTCCCCCACGTTCTTTTTGGTCCCCAAAGGAGGATGCTTTGTTTGGCCGCGCGCAACCTAATCAAAATCATTGATCTAGAAACTTCCCTCTCTGCGAACGTCTATCTGGGTGGCTATACAACTCCATTGGAATTTCTCCCGGCAATCTTCTTCCGCTTCTCGTCCAGTCCCAGTCTGATCGCCGCCGCCGCCGTCGCCACCTAGTTCGCCGCCGTCGCAAATCGCGACGTTCATCACCTCGCAGGTATGCTTGTTCCTCACGTTTTTATTGGGCGGGTAAATGGGATAATTTTCATAGTCTTGGGAGTTTGCCGTTTTTCTTACCTCCTATGAATCAATCTTCTTTTTTATATCTGTTTCACATCATTCTCCGTTAGCGCTGTATGTGAATTCGTCGATTCCAGTTTTCAGGGTTTGGTTGGTCGGTTTGTTCCTTGTGATTGGTTCTGTAATTTGTTGCCTGAGCATGGGGCTTTTGAGGTTCTTTCTCAATTGATAGATTGGCTCAGGGTGTAATGTACTCCCCTGTGAATTTGTAACTGAGTAGCTAGCTACAGAAGCATCCAGAGCAGAACTGATCGTGGGTAAGATGGCGGCGAGTTGAGGCTCCTCTCCCCTGCTTCTGCATTGAATACAATACATTGAAGCACCATTGAGCGACCTTCTTTGCATTCATTTGTGTTTGGTTAGTATTTAATAGAGTTAACCCTAGAATTAATACTGTTAGGTTAAATTTTCTCTTTGATGAATATTAGGTAAACATTTTCATTCTCAAATGTATTTCAGTAAATCTTGTTTTATGTGATCTAACTGTTAGTTTCCGTACGATCCATCGGACTTGTTTGAGGTGACTGTTGTGTGAATTGTCGATAGTGCACCCTCATGATTGCAATTTGATTGATATGGTGTGTTTGGTTCATTTTGAGCTGGCGTTTTCTTCATGTGTTTCTTTGTTGGAAGATATTTTGCTTGTTTTCATGCACCTGGATCTGCAGGCAAGTTGCTCCGTTGTTGAATTGGGGATAAATTGCTTACATCATCATGCATTGTGATGTTGTTGCAGGTCTGAAAATTTGACATTACCTTCTTACACCGCATATCTCACTGGGATCGTGCTTCTTCCTCATAGACAATGGTACGTGTGCTCTGATTTCCTAGAAAGACAATAGATGTTGTAGGTGCCTGCAACTAGATATGTTATCGTTTCGGTCACGAAGTTGCTTTTACAATGAAATAGCTTCTCGAATGGAGTTTCTAATAGATCTGGTATGGAGTTCCAGTCAGATAGAGGATAGCTATCACTACGTCCTAAAGAATATTTCAAGTTGTCTCTCAAATTTGAAGGCCTAATTTATGCCTATGGCTTGACCTTTTATTTGCATGATTATAGCTACTATTACAGTATTACTACTTCTCTACCCATGCAGTAACTACTCTTTACTCTCTCTTTAGCGATCCATTTATCACCTTTATATTTCAGGCTGGCAGAGTTATTGTGAATTTGATTGTGATGAGCTCCGGAGTGTTAGCAAGGGCCTTTGCTCAGGCATATCGTCAAGCGCTTCAAAGTATGGTATTAGCCTCATTATTGTTCTTTCACCCCGCCACCCCCACTTTTGCTTTTATCTTATCCTTTGGGCTTGATCAAATCGCCAGATGCTTCGAGGAACGGTGTTGCACATGAAACAATACATAACATGAAGAAAGTCAGTAAGACGATGACCGAGTCTGAGGCTAGGCAGATTCTTGGAGTTTCTGAAAATGCACCGTGGGAGGAGATTCTAAAGGTTTGCAAATGACTATTTATCATTCATTGAAATATGCGAAACCATCTTCCTTGTGATCATCAAGTTGCTACCCCTTCTCTCGACTAATGATTAAATCGTTCACCACAATTTGTCTGCAGAAATACGATTCCTTGTTTGAGAACAATGCGAAGAACGGCAGCTTCTACCTGCAATCCAAGGTCTTCCGAGCTAAAGAACGCCTGGAAAGTGCAGCCAAGAAGGGCGCCGAAGGAATAACTGGGCTGAACATTTAACGTTCTCGTCTCTTCTCCTAACTGCAGAGGTGCACATATTAGAAGTCAGCAGGTGCGTGTTAGTTCGATGTTTCACTGTAATGTGTGTCGAAGCATGTAGTCCAAAAAGACGAACTGGAATTCCAGGTCTGCAAATTTTATAAAGAATTTTTTAAGAACAAACAGAAAGCCAATTGTGGATGTAAAATGTCTTGCAGTCATGTTCATTTACTCGTTGTGTTATAGTTGAACCCTTGACGTGAGAGTATTTGAGTTCGGTCGTGAAGGGTAGTTTTCCGACAGCTCCTCCCTGGCTGGCGTTCGCTAGGGCCACCAGGCTGGTTCAATCCCCACCAACAGTCCAACATCGTTAGAAAAGACAATTTCAACCTGGTGCAGTTGCAGCAATGCACAGTTGTAAGTTCCTTATAAAAAAAACACAGTTGAAAGTTCCTTTTAAAAAAGGGAACCCTTTAAAAAATACAGTTGTAAGTTGTAACAGATGACATTTTCTCACTAGAAAGGAAATATTGAATATCATGCCCTAAATTGTAAACTGTTTAACAGCATATAACGGTTCAACCACGATTTTTTAGTACAAAATACCCTAAGCTTACACTAAACTTTTCCGGAGTCTTTCTTATAATAGATCATTAGGGAGCGGTTATGGTGATTACTACTTTTGTAGTAATCACCGTGGTTACTAAGGGTAAATTGGGTATGGAAAAATAAATTATATTAATGAATTTTTTTAATAAATTACATTTTAGGTAGTTACAAAAATTAATTAAATACAATTATATCTCTTTCTCTCACTTCCGTAATCTTCAGCCAGATCTCCTTTCCATATTTTCTCAATCTTTCTGCAAAAGAAAAAACACGAAATCACTACCAATCCATTAGACAACCACTACCACTTTGAAAAACATCAATACCATTGCAGAGGTAAATCTATACCATTACACGAAAACTACCAATATAAAGAATCTATACCATTACAAAAGTCAAACAAATACCAAAACAAACAATACCACTACAACTGCAAAATGGTGGGCAAAGACAATGATTCGTGTTCAAGTTAGGATACTCATATGTTTGGGTTCAATTGTATCATGCTCAACAAAAAGGAAAAAAAGAAAGAAAAAACATTAAACAGGATGAACTCAGTCCTGATACAAAGCTCGTGGTAGCGGCCTATTACATAGTCCGTTTTAGGGATTGGCGACTTACCCATTCATAGAGATCTGTTGGGTTACGGGCGGGCAGTTTACCAGAGGTTTCTATTGTATCATGTGTAATTCCTGTTGAAGCATATACCCGGGGGTGGTTGCAGGGCGGACGCTTTCAAAGCGGACTCCCCATTCATTAGATAGAGAAGCTCACCAAGATTTCGTGATCTGCCGCCGAACTTATTCCAATACCAAGATCTCGGATCGAATCGGTATTGATACCGATTCGATCAAGATGTTGGAAACGATGGTGGGGAACAACTTAGGATTCCGCCGACAGTATTCGAGATGGGCTGCAAAATGGTGGGCAAATGTGATGATTTGTGCAAAAAGCCATAAATGAAAACCTAGTGAACAATAAAAAAAACAAAAGAGGATGAAACTCGGTCCAGATACAAAACTCGTGGTAGCGGCCTTAGAAAACGATGATGGGCTGCAAAATGGTTGGCAAAGGGTGATGATTTGTGCAAAAAATCTTAGATGAAAACCTAGCAAACAATAACTAAACACAAAGGCGATGATTGTGCAAAAATCCATATACGAAAACCTAACGAACAATAACAAAACATAAAGGCGATGATTTGTGCAAAAAAGCATAGACGAAAACCTAGCGAACAATAACTAAACATAAAGGTTGTAGAATGAAGAGTAGGGTAAAAGAAGGACTTGGAACTTCCCCACTTGCACTTGAAAGAGTGTGAGAGCCACTAATGAATAGTAACTCAAACCTAGGCTTTTATTTATTAATTTATGAATTTGGACCCTCAAAGTACATGCACCTCCAGAAATTTGATACCTCTAACTGCATGAAGCAAGCAATAGACTTTGTTCAAACGGCAAGAGGAATAAGATTCGTTCACAAATCCTTTTTTTTTTTGTAGGAAGACAGACGCAAAAGCGTCTCAACTCATATTAATAAAAGAACGGGACTGCGAAGTCCCCATAATATCGTACGACAACCAGTATCTAAACTCAGGGTCGCACTCATCGAAAGGATGTGTGCCAAAAGGGGAAAGGTGACCCTTCCTAGCAAGGAAATCAGCAACATGATTGCATTCCCTAAAAACATGGGAGATTCTAACTTCCCATTCAAAATTCAGAAGCCTATTTATGTCTTGAGCAAGCAAACCATGACGATGGTTACTGTCCTTGCTATTCTTGATGATGGAGATGGCCGTGGAAGAGTCCAGGTTAAGTAGCACCTTTTTGAACCCAGACTTCCAAGCGAGAGACAAACCTTCAGCAGCTCCCTTTAACTCCGTATTCGTGATCGTACAGGAACCAAGATTGCAGACGAAGGAGTTCAAACATCTCCCCAGATGATCCCGAATGATTCCCCCTGCCGCTACCTGCCCAGAATCCGTCAGGACTGATCCATCGGTTTGAACCTGGACCCATCCTTCCGGAGGCGGTTTCCATGCCACTTCTCTAGTAATTCTCTCTTGGTTAGCGCCAGGGGAGCTTCTCTTATCACTGGCATAGGCTTGGTTAACAATGTTGATCCAAGCTTCAACTCGATGGAGAAAGCCATCCTGAGAGAACGTCTTCCCTTCAATGGCTTCCTCGTTTCTCTGTTTCCAGAGATTCCAACAAATTATCCCAAATCGGATTCCTTTCTCGTCATTCATCACGTTGGTGAGGAGCCATGACTGAAAAGGGGAGTTAGAGCTTGCATCCAGGAGGGTATCCTTGAGCTTACTCCAAATACCAGTAGCTTTAGGGCACGTTCTGAGGATGTGCTCTGTAGTCTCCTCATTCACCAAACAGTGGCCACAGTTGCTGCTGGGAGTAGGGATGGCAATGGGGCGGGTTTGCCTAAACCATCCCCATCCCCATCTTCAAATACCCAAACCCATACCCGCCCCATACCCATGCGGAGGAATGTTTTGCAAACCCATCCCCATACCCGTGGGTTTCGGGTACCCATGGGTAATACCCATCCCCGTACATCCAACATTATTATACCTAAAACTTACAAGAAAAGTTTTAATTATAACCATAAACAAACCTATTATATCACGAAGTCAACAAAACACGGTCATTTTCTAAATACGATTCAAAGAATATGATTCTAAAACATCCATTAATACATAATATAGACTATCATATTTTTTAAATTATTATGCTCTAACTCTTGATACATTTACTAAGTAATAATTAACTAACATAATTTTGTGACAAGGGGGAAAGTGAAAGAGTGGAAGGAGAATTGAGGGAAATGAATTAGGTTTTGATTAAGGTGGTTACTCAATTGCATTTCTACTATTTATTTTCTCGAGTTATCATCATCATCATTGATAGATTACAATTTAATCCACGTATTTTTTGATATGTGAAGAAATTCTCTTGGTGGGGCGGGTATGGGTATGGGTATGGGGCGGGGAAGGCTAAAACCATACCCGCCCCATACCCATCAAACCTTTTGCGGGTTTTACCCATACCCGCCCCATACCCGGTCAAAGCGGGGATTCCCCGCGTTGACTGGGTATGGGGCGGTCGGGTACCCACGGCCATGGGTTTGATTGCCATCCCTAGCTGGGAGCAATCTTCATTTTAGCTCTCTTCACATTAGTCATCAGCCTTTCATGTCGTGCGAGCCAGAGGAACAGTTTGATGCGGTTGGGACCCCTCCACTTCCAGAAGAGTTTCCAGCTGTTGTCCGCTTCAGACTCCAGGTCTTCATTCACCAGGTAGTAGGCCGACTTGAAACTGAAGCACCCATCTCGTTCAATTCCCCAGATGGAGGTATCCTCACCCAGCTCAGGTTTTGGTGGCTCCATCTCTGCAAGCAAAGACAACCCATCAGGGTGAATTAAGTAGGACAAATTTTCCCAATCCCACCCACCCGAGGGGGTAACCCAACAAGAGACAGGTGAGTTCAGGTCAACCAAGGATGGGACCAGAAAGCAGTGGTATTGCCATTCCTCACACTCCAAGCCGTAGCACTTTTCATAATAGGCATAGCTTTCACCACCGCCCTCCAAAGATTCGAAAAGTTACTTTTTTTCATGGAGATGATTTGGCCATTTCGATGATTGAAGTATTTTCCTTGAAGCACTTGCACCAACAGGTCTTTTTCGTTATTAAGCATTTGCCAAGAAATCTTAACCATGTAGGCCATATTCAAGCTTCTAGCCTTTTTAAGACCCAGACCCCCTTGATCTTTGGGTTTACAAATCTTATCCCAAGACAAGAGGTGAGTCTTCCTTTTCCCCAGAGACGAACCCCAAACAAAGCCCCTAATTTTCCTATCGATCTCATCGCACACAGATAAAGGAAGGGGGGATGTTTGCATTGCATAAGAGGGGATGGAGTTGAGAACAGACATAGCAAGAGTAACCCTGCCTGCAAGTGACAGGGTTTTAGCTTTCCAGACAGTCAATTTAGAATCCATTTTCTCAAGAATGTATTTATAAGTATCCCGTGTCAATCTGCCATGCAACACTGGTACTCCAAGATATCTACCAAGGTCCTTAGTAGATTGAATACCAAGTCTAGAACAGATTGCAACGCTTACAAGACATATTCCTAGAGAAGAAGACTCTAGACTTATCTTTACTAATAGCCTCCCCCGAAGCAGAACAGAAGAAATCAAGGCACTTCATAATCATGTCAGCCTGGGGGACGGTGGCCTCACTAAATAGAACCAAATCATCAGCGAAAAACAAATGTGAAAGGGCCGGCCCTCCCTTAGACAGAAAAATCGGTTTCCAATTCTTATCACTAACTTCCCTACGAATGCAGTGGCAGAGCCGTTCAATGCATAAAGTAAAGAGGTAGGGAGAAAGGGGACATCCCTGACGAAGACCACGACTTGGTTTGAACCCTTCAGTAGTGCCTCCATTCCAAAGAACACTCAGCTCCGTGGTCATAACACACCCCATGATAAGGCGGACACAATCAGGAGGGAGGTGGGCAGACATCAATGTTTCTTCAAGAAACTCCCAATCGATCCGGTCGTAAGCTTTGGCAAGGTCAATTTTGAGGATCATAAGATCTTTCCTCCTTGACTTCAAGGACATCGTATGGCCCACCTCCTGCAAAATCAAAATATTGTCAGTGAGATGCCTATTTGGTACAAAACTAGTTTGATTAGGATGTATAAGATGGGGCATAAGACTTTTAAGTCTATTAGCGATGCATTTAGCAATCGCTTTATACCCCACATTACACAAACTAATCAGTCTAAATTGAGCCATAGACACAGGGGAGTCAGTTTTGGGAATCAAAGCAAGAGCAGTAGAGTTGACATCGCTAATGCGCTCAGGACACCTGAAACAAGAAGCAACAAAGTTA